TCTACCGTATAAATACTGAAAACTAAAATAAAGTAAGTCTATGATCACATGCATATAGGAAATTATGATATGCGAGTTTAAAACAGTTCCACTGAGGTAAAGAACCCTATAAAAAGAAAAATGAGGTGAAAAAAATTATTTGAAAATTTGCACCCAAGTCAATGGTCAGACCACATTCTAATGGACATGAATCTCAGAAAATATAAATTCAATATTATAATTTATTAAAATCAGCTGAATCTTTTTATTCAAACTTCTAAAGACCTGATTTTGAATAGCAATGTTTGGAAAGGCCTATACTTCTGTCATATTAGCGGTTCCATTGTGAATTAACGGTCCTAGGGTAAATGATATTCCACTGAAAATCAAATGAAATAAATTATTTGAAACAGTTTCACTTCCATGGTCATTTTGGATGACAACAGAACTACATCTTAATGGTACATGAATCTCAGAAAAATATTTCCAATATCATCATGTTTAAAAACCTCAGCTGAAACTTTTTATTTTCAAACTTCTAAAAAGTACCTGATTTTATGAAGCAATGTTTGGAAAGGCCTATACATCTCTGTCATATTAGACGGTTCCATGTCGGGATTTAACGGTCCTTCAGGGTAAATGAGCAATCCACTGAAATCAAAATAAGATAAATTATTTAAACAGTTCACATTTCCATGGTCATTTTGGCAATGGACAACAAGAACAGGTTGAACTGGGTGCTGCTAACCGAGCAGGTTTGGACACAGAAAAGTATACCTCTTGAAGTGTAAGAGTTATGTCACTGACAAAGTTCAAAGTGTAAAAATGAACAAAGGGCAATAACTCCAAAATTAAGCAAGGCAGAGTTAAAGTTCTTTTGCACTGCTCTTCTATTTAATGAGATCAATCTACCTACAAACCTCTTATGATTTAAGAGCTATGTCTCGGACAAAGTTCAAAGTGAAAAAAAAATAACAAAGGGCAATAACTCAAAAATTAGGCAAGACAGAGAGCTCTCTCCACCTACAAAGATTCATGTTGATATCTCTTATAGTTTTAGAGTTATGTCCCAAACAAAATTCAAAGAGTGTAAAAACGAACAAAGGGCAATAACTCAAAATTAGGCAAGACAGAGTTATGGTTCTTTTGCACTGCACTTCTACCCAAGGAAATCTATGTACCTATAAAGTTTCATGTTGATATCTCTTATAGTTTTAGAGTTATGTCCCGGACAAAGTTCAAAGTGTAAAAATAAATAAAGGGTCATAATTCCAAAATTAGGCAAGGCAGAGTTACGGTTTTGGTGCACTGCACATCTATTTAATAAGATCAATCTACCAACAAAGTATTATGTTGATACTTCTTGTCGTTTCAAAGTTATGTCCCGGACAAGAACAGCAGGCGGACGGACATCCTTACAAATGATACATTGTGTGACTTTTCCTTTAATCTTTTTAGCCACACAAAGCTTAAACAAGAGGGCCATGATGGCCCTGAAATTGGTCACCTGTATATAGGCCTCTGAGCCAAGGCCAATTTTAAACCAGGGGCTTTTATTTGGACAAACTTGGTAGACACCCATTAGAAGATGTTTCATGATAAATATCTTAGCTCTAGCTCTTTGGGGTTTTTATAAGAAGATTTTTTAAGTTTTTACTATATACATACAGGAAAAAAAAACAATGACTCCACCCCCCCCCCCCCAGGAGGGGCCAATTTTGACCCCAGGCCTTTTATTTCAACAAACTTGGTAGACATTCACTAGGAGATATTCCATGCTTAGGATCTAAACTCTAGCTGTTTGGGTTTTTTATAAGAAGATTTTTAAGTTTTTACTATACACACATAAGGAAAATCAACGACCCCTGGGGTGGGGCCAATTTTAACCCAAGGGCCCTTATTTGAACAAGCTTGGTAGACACCCATTAGAAGATGTTTCATGCTAAACATCTTAGCTCTAGCTCTTTGGGGGTTTTAAAAGAAGATTTTTGAAGTTTTTACTATATACTAGTACATAAAAGGGAAAAACAATGACCCCATGGGGCGAGGCAAATTTCTATCCCAGGACTTTTATTTGAACAAACTTAGTAGACATCCAAAAGAAGTCTTGAAATGGTGAAAATGTACTTACCAAGCTATAGCTAAACTTGGAATGGTGAAAATGTACTTACCAGACAATAGCTGAACTTGGAATGGTGAAAATGTACTTACCAGACAATAGCTAATCTTGGAATGGTGAACATTAAAGCAGGATCACAGTAATCGATCATGTCTTGTGTCAGCAGTGACTCCTTTAATGCCCTGTAAATTGTTTTGAGAAAGACATTTAAAAATTAGCCTAAAATCAGACATCAAATTGTATTCTCTAACAATTTCATCTGTATTCGAGAAACTTATTTCTAATATGTAACAAATATCTATTGTTTGTTTTCACAAAATATAATGCTAAGTGTCTTATTAACAAAAGATTTGTGGTTCGATTTGTGAATCAGAAGTGTTGAATCGTGGAACAGATTGGATCTTCATTTATCCGATAATATACACCCCTACCCAGGTTTATATATTAAGCTTTTAGCCTTGTAAGTTAGAAGTGCTAAAACAGCATACTTTTGTTAAGTGATGGAATGCTAAGGCAAGTTAGACTGGCAAAAATTGAACATAACAAATCTTTAATGTTATGGGAAACTGAAATGAGAAAAATGTTTTATTATGGCCAATTTCATGTTGGGACAAGTTTTGTGACAGACGGACAGACAGACAGACAGTGCACAACTAGACTTGGTACTGATCATTCCTGTAAAGTTTGGATGAAATTGCACCAGTAGTTTATGAGGAGTAGTCTGTACAAGTTTTGTGATGGACGGACAGACGGACGACGGAGAAGTGATCCCTATATGTCGCCACTACTCCGTAGAGGCGACACAACAAGAGCTCTATGTAAGACTGAATGCTTACCACTACTATCACTGCTTGATAGTAGAGAAGTTATAGGTACTGTGGCCAACATGTTTGATAATCACATAGAACAAGTGTGTGTGAAGTTTCAAACCATTCCATTCAGTAGTTTTGAAGATACCAACTTGCACGTAGAAACTAAACCAAAGTGTGGCAGAGACGCTGGGATGAATAATATAGCTCTTCGAATAGTCAAGCTTAAAACAACAACAAAATACTGAAATGTTACAATAGTCAAGTTTACCTCTGCACTGTTTCTGAGAAGAGGACAGTAACTTCTTGCAGGAGGTCATACTCCTTCATTGTCTTCACAGGAACCATAGCACTCACATAACTAAATACAATTATTGTATAATTATACAAGTTACATTACAAACTATCAATATTATAACTAACTTTTGATATACAGCTTACTTAAACGTAACTTAAGCCTCAGAAATGAATAAACTTTTCTTTCCACAAAAAGGGCAAAATGTATTTAAAAATGTTGTAGCAATGAATGAATTGTAGGCCAATGAGTTACATTTTGGAAACAGTAACAGAACATCAAGAATAAAAGGCTTTTGATTATATAAAAATACTGGAAATTTTAAGACTTAATGGGCCTTTAAAATTGAAGCCTTACTTATTGTATGTTTTAAAATATTGTTTTTCATTTAATTAAAGAGTTCAAAAACTCTAATTTCCTATTTAATTTTCAAGTTAAAAATTTAATTAACCCTACATGATATCTTTGATAGCAAGACAAAAATTATTCTTACAAAAACAAATAGCAAATTCATTTAATTACCTCAATTCAAATTCTGCAAACAATTTGTCAAAAATCACCAAAGCTTCTTTAATCTGAAATATACAAGTTCAATTTCCTTACATATTTATATAAAATTTACGACAAAGTGTCAAATCATCATCCAATCAGGAACAAAACCTATTATTTTAAACAAGAGGGCTATGATGGCCTTGGATCACTCACAATTTTTATGATTCAATGTTATTGTCAGTAATGGTTTGCCAATTTTTTTTTATAAAAGTTGCATAAATTTTAAAATATTTGTAGATGTCTGCTACAAAATGCTAAATAAATAATGACAAATATCTGATTTATTGGCATCGAAGTTTAAAATGTATTTTCCTATATGAATTATATAACTAATGTAGAGATCTACTAGGCAATGCTACATGCCAAATATCAAAGCTCTAGGCATTCCGGTTTTCAAAAGAAGTCTAGTCTGACACTTAAATGTATTTTCCTATACAAGTCTATATAAACTAAGGGATCCCCAGGCTTGGCCAATTTTGATAGCTGGGGTATGATTTAGTAGAAACCCTGAAATAGTTAGGAGGTGATAAGTGTTTAAAGAAATTTTAGATAACAACTGCCAACTAACAAGAGCTGTTGAAGGAACAGTGCTATTCCTAAAACACCTTGATAATGCATATTTTCCTAAGTTCAAAAAGGGCCATAATTCTGTTAAAATCCATGTTATAGGCCTTGGACAGAGATCTCTTATTATGCATTGCTCTTAAATAAGTGTGTTCAGTTTCAACCCATTCCCTTAAGTTGTTTTCAAGATACTAATTTGCAATGCAAGAACATAACTAAAGTATGATGAATGTGAACAAAAGTTGTCCCTATTGCTGAAAAATGCCTAAAAAGGGGCAAACCTCTATGTGTTCACTGCAGCGAAAATTTATCTTGACCAGAGTTTTGATATAAAATATTAACATGCTAAATATAAACACAACAAGTCAAATTGTTCAAAGGTTATGTTTTAGAAACCAATTTTTATTTAAAGAAGGAAGTTCTAACGAGACTGTACTTACATGTATGTTGCTTCTCTATTTAGCCATATAAAGGAAATAGCCACATAAAAGACTTATGGAATGAATGACATCAAATAGAAAAAGTACAGTTACCTATTGCCCCTCTAGCCACATTAGTATCCAAATGTAAGCTCGGACAAACATATAGAGAGATAAAGCCATAACATAATACTTCCTGAAGGTTGTAAAGCATATAAAAGGTTCAGCAAAGTAGATGCTAACAGAGTGGATAAGGACAATAGATCTGCTTCTGTTTAGAAAAGAGAAGTTATTATAGTTTTATTTAATGACTGCCTTTCTTCCAATTTTCACAATATTTTTAACATACTCGTTCTGTGTATTCTGTACAGCTACGTAGACACTGGTCTCTGAGTACACCACGTAAACTTTCCAGGTTTTTAGTTAATGCCCGAGCCAGTGGCCTCATGCTTGCACTTTCTACCTCTCGGTTTAAGATGCTCGAACCTGCTGCAAGACACTGAAAAGGATAATTAATGTATAATACAATTTTGTTCCAATGAAATAGTAAGCATAATATTTAAATAAGAATACAGTAACATTCATGAAAGCTGCCAGATATATAATGTAGTTAAACAAAGCTACTAACATGTCAACAAGAGCTCTGCAGAGGCTGGTCAACACATGCCCTATGGTAAATCTCAAAGAACGTATCAATGACAAAAATAAACATACCTTCAAAATAAATCCTTTCAAAATAAAACAAATAATTGATTCATTCTGTGGAAAATTTGCTAGAAAATGGGCATAACTCATTCAACAAGAGCACCGCTAGGCGGAGCATTATATGCCCGAAAGTGTTTTTTTTTTTTAATAAGGATGAAGCATTTATAAGACATGGGAATTAGCTGTTCATCCTATAAAATTATACAGCTGTAGGTTGATTAATACTTAAGTTATTAATAATGACCTTAACCTTTGACCCCAAAATCAATAGGGGTTTTCTACCTGATATGGACAATCATCCTAAAAAGTTTGAATATTGTTGGCCAATTGGAACTTTAATCATGCTCTAGAAACTGTTTTCCGTATTAAGGTAAAAGTGACATTGACCTTTGACCTTGTGACCCCAAAATCAATAGGGGTCTTCTACCCAATATGGACAATCATCCTACGAAGTTTGAATATTGTGGGCCAAATGGAACTTACGTTATGCCCCGGAAACTGTTTTTGGTTTTAAGGTAATTGTGACCTTGACCTTTGACCTAGTGACCCCAAAATCAATAGGGGTCTTCTGCCCAATATGGACAATCATCCTATGAAGTTTGAATATTGTGGGCCAAATGGAACTTAAGTTATGCTCCAGAAACTGTTTTCAGTTTATAGGATATAGTGACCTTGACCCTTGACCTTTTGACCCCAAAATCAATAGGGGTCTTCTACCTAATATGGACAATCATCCTATGAAGTTTGAACACTGTGGGCCAAATGGAACTTAAGTTATGCTCCGGAAACTGTTTCCAGTATCAATGTAATAGTGACCTTGACCTTTGACCTTGTGACCCCAAAATCAATAGGGGTCTTCTTCCAAATATGGACAATCATCCTATGAAGTTTGAACACTGTGGGTCAATTGGAACTTAAGTTATGCTCCGGAAACTGTTTTCAGTATCAAGGTAATAGTGACCTTGACCTTTGACCTTGTGACCCCAAAATCAATAGGGGTCTTTTGCCCAATATGGACAATCATCCTATGAAGTTTGAACATTGTGGGTCAAATGGAACTTAAGTTATGCTCCGGAAACTGTTTTCAGTTTTAAGGTCATAGTGACCTTGACCTTTGACCTTTTGACCCCAAAATCAATAGGGGTCTTTTACCCACTATGGACAATCATCCTATGAAGTTTGAACATTGTGGGTCATTTGGAACTTAAGTTATGCTCCGGAAACTGTTTTCAGTATCAAGGTAATAGCGACCTTGACCTTTGACCTTGTGACCCCAAAATCAATAGGGGTCTTCTACCTTATATGGACAATCATCCTATGAAGTTTGATCATTGTTGGTCGAATGGAACTTAAGTTATGCTCCGGAAACTGTTTTCAGTTTTAAGGTCATAGTGACCTTGACCTTTGACCTTTTGACCCCAAAATCAATAGGGGTCTTCTACCCAATATGGACAATCATCCTATGAAGTTTGAACATTGTGGGCCAAATGGAACTTAAGTTATGCTCCGGAAACCAAATTGCTAACGGACGGACGGACGGACGGACGTACGGACGGACGGACGGACAGACAGACAGACAGACAGACGGACGCCAGGGGGTATAACATAATATGCCCTTTCGGGCATATAATAATATGCTGATTGGAGCAAAAATCAAATATAACTTGTGTATTGATATGACATACTTTACATGCCAAATATACAAACAATCACTGATGTCCTTCAAAAGCTATGCTGTAAAAACCAATTATTTCACAGAAAATTTGGTTAAATTGGACTTATGTGTGTGTTTGGGTTTGTTTACCATAGCCACCGGAAAGAGACCATATGGACAAACATGAAATTGGGCTTAGCTCTACATATAGCAATAAAAAGTAAAACCAATAACTGTGAATAATTTGCTTAAACATGGGTGTAACTCATTAAAACTTTTTAAAGGTTGGTTGGGAGCTAAAATCAAACCCTGTTATTTGATATGACATACTTACATACCAAATATAAACACCATCATTCATATCCTTCATGTCATCCTTAAGAAACCATTAATTTCACAGACAATTTAGTTAAAAAGGTGTATAACTGTATCAATAATTAGTTGATTCCAGCTGACTTTTGTTTTGATATAAAATACTTGCATGTCAATAATCATTACCTCTGCTCCAAACCAAAGTTGTCCAGCCAAGCTATCCTGAAGTACATCATCAGGAAATTTTACACGAAAATCACGATTAGCTCGTTGCCCAGGAATAGCATCGTCCATTATCTTCTGTATAACAGTAAGTACCCTATCTTGACATACCCGCAGCTGGTTCACAAGCATAGTGCAGCGTTCAGGATCTTTACGTCCATCAAAACTGTCAAGCTCTGCAGCCACTATATTCAACTCCTCATCAGCAAAATAAAACTGTGCCAGTAGTGTGTTGTCTGTTTTCTAAATAAAACATTCATAAGGATTAAATGTCTGACAATATTTACAAACCTGTCCATCTATACATTTTACAAGAAATAATCAAGAACAACTGTCGTAAGAGACGGTGCACCTGACTAATTAAATACTGGATGCAGTGAAGGAAGACAAACTATGGGAAAAAAATCAATTATGGTACATGTATACCTGTAAATATATTTCCGTATCAGTATATATTAAAATATTTAAATATAACATAAAAGATAATTTACATCATACAAAATGAAAATTTAAATCTACAGCAGACAGTAAGGGTTATTTTTGCATATTTTGACCTTTATAATTATAATAATTTATTTGCTAGAAAAAGTAAAGCAAGTAATTAAGTCCCATGGTATTTTATACAGGGATTTTTTTTTTGGTTATTTTATAGCCGTTATTGGGTCATATTCCCAATTGAACATAGTATATTATTTTCCCAATCCACAGGAAAAAATTCCCAATTGAAAGTTTGAAAATAAGGGCTCCTTCACTGTGATAGTGCTTAAATGTTTGAAGATGCCAAGATGCCATCCTAGACAGTATTCCATTTAATCACTGTAAAATTTCAGTCATGCATTTTTCCCCAATTTTTAACAAAACACCGCTGAAATTCCCAATTTCATGGGAAGGGGTCATGTTCCCAAAATCATTAAAAAAAAATCCCTGTGTTTCTTTTTTCCAGGCTGCATAATTTTAAAAGTATTTGTAGATGTCTGCTACAAAATGCTTCATGACAAATAATCAAATATATAATATCTTGGCATTGTAATTTCACATTTAAAAGAAGACTTAATTCATTTTACTATGTAAGTCTCTTTATAAACTAAGTGACCCAAAAGGAGGGCCAGTTTCGACCCAATGGGCATGATTAAATCATTTATAAAACTTTTGTAAAGGACCACAAGGTCAAGCTTCATGCAAAATATCTAACTCTGTGCAAAGATCTTTCAGAGAAGAAGATAAATTTTCATTTAACTAAATCTATGTAAACTAAGCAACCCCCAGGGTGGGGTCATTTTTAAACTGCAGATGTATGACTAACCTAACATTTGTAACATCCACTAAGCAATGTTATATGCCAAACATCTAAGCTCATTGGCATGATAGGTTCATGAAAGAAGACTTAAATACAGTTATTATACAGATGTGCCTCCAAAGAGACACATAAAAATCTCGAGACGCATGGAATCAAAATACAGTCAAACCTGTATAAGGCAGACAGTATTCGGAATTTGTAAAAGTGTCTCTCTTAGGCCATCCTTAAAAAAATGTTTGTTTGCAGTAACCCGACTCAGAATTTTCAAGGTGGGTAGGTAGGTCGATTTTTTTTTATTGAACTGTACTCCCAAATAAACATGGAATTTCAAAATGCTGGACAATATAATTATGCTTTGACAATCTGGTAACAATTAATAAATTGATACTTGCATTCTAATTTAATAAGAACTACATTTTATTTCTTCTATTAACCTTTAAAAGAATGAAAATAAAGCACAAGGCATAATTTTCTGATTCCAAAAAAAATAATTTTTTTATCCAGACCATGAAAAAAAATTTGAGTAGAGGCAAATTTTGTGAGTCGGTTGCGTTACTGCAAACAAACATTTTTTTAAGGATGGCCTTATACAGGTGGCTCTCTTATCCAGGGCTGAACTCTGGCTAGGAAAAGTGACTATTTTTAATTATTTTTTAGATATGACGTAAAACACCATGATTTGCAATGATTTCAGTTTTTATTATGTAATGTTAAAAATCTAATGTCTTTCAACTCAACTCCGTAAACTTTAGGAAAAGATATTAATTACGTTTTATTCATACAAAAGGAAATTAAAAACAAGTTGTTCTCAATACAAACGAAGAAATTTGCAGAGTAACGCTTTGATTTGCAACAATAAATAGCTACCACTATACGATTTATGTGACAATGATTATGCAAACAAAGAAAGGTCATGCCCCGCGGCGTGTATTAGATTGATACCGTGTACATATTACACATGTATGTTGACACGTCTTCAAAACAATCGGATTAGCGATTATTAGACATTGAAAGGTATAGATTCAACTTAATAAATTGGACAGCTTAAATTTTGCTTTGCAGTTAGATTTCGTTAATGTGGTTAATTTAAAAGAAATTTCTACGCACAATTATAATTTCACTTTACTTTCGTTTACTTTCGAAAATACATGTATATCAAAAACATTTTACTCAAACGAAACACATTTTAAACAAGTTATTTTTCAAACTTACAAACAAATTTACCGACTACTGGTAAAAATTAATGTAAAACGGTACGAAAACGGTATGGTACAGAAAAAATATTGGATCCAAAATGGCGACAAACGTTCTTGTACTGGCCGTTTGATCTGGTAATTTTGGCTATTTGGGGATGAAAATGGGTGGCCGTTGGCGGCGTTGAGCAGGTGGCCGTCTTAAAAGAGACAAATATATAGTAATTTACATTGGGGTTGTCCAGAGCAGGTGGCGCTTTTATAAAGGTGGCCGATCGGGCAGTTTTGACTGTATGTACATCCCATTTGACGCATGCAAATCTGGTAGTTTTAAACCCAAATTATCATGGTTAGTGACTTGTATGTACCTTTTTATTAGTTAAATTACATCAGTTGAATAACTTAATAGTTGTAAAACCTTTGCGAAGGTTCAGTTTCCGTGCACATATAGCTAGGCAGCATTTAGGCCAAATAAAAAAATATGTCTGGTTCAGGAAACATTGGCCAAAAAATTAGGAGGGTAGGGATTTTCATTTTTTTTTTTGAACGTCATAATTTCCATTTTCAGATGTGTTGCTTGCATATAACATACTTAAACAGAGATTGTAATCAATCAATGCAAACACCATTTTGTAACTTCCAGCATAGTGTGTTTCACTGTAGTCTCAATAAGAATGGTATTGGTAAAGAATTATATTAATATGATCACTGTCAACAAGTTAAGAATGATACTAGCAAACAGTTTAGTATCTTTTCGCTTGAAGCAGCTCTAGTAAATGAATCTCTTTTATCAAACAAATGCCTAAAACATGTTACTTCACCTTCCAAAATGTTGCCCCTTGGATCGTCGTTGACATCTCACACTTGACGTCGTATAATACAATAAGATTTTTGAGATTGGCCAAACACTAAGTTGATTAAAACAATGCATGTACATGTATATAAAAGTTTAATAAGTAACTCATATCAAATGTTTGTAACAATGAACAGCAAAATTCATTGCCTTTTCATATTCAAAAATATTGAAGCTTATTAAACTTTTCGTACCCAAAAAACTTTGTAGCAAAAATCAAAAAAAGTTTAGGGTCGCCGGTAAAAAAATAGGGTAGGTCGGGTTCCCTGAACCAGACATATTTTTTATTTTAGCCTCAGTGAAAGATTGTGTACAGCTTCACACGGTGTGTTAGAGAATCATCCGATCTGCTATTATTTTATGGAATAGCTTCAAAAGGGTGTGTCACAGGGTATAATAAATAATGAACTCCTGGCGTAGGTTCGTCAATTTAATATATAATACGAAGATAAAGCCTAAAAACATAAATACATGATTATAATACAAGTTAATTAAAACATACATAAAATACAACAATACAACAATTGAACGATGTAAATAAGAATTATTTCAAGTAAATGAATCAAATGAAAATAATCTTAACACAGCGTCTCAATAAATAACTTAATAATAAGTTATTTCCAAAAATTCTATTAAGTAAACTTAAAGAATTTATGTACTAAGTAGAATAGTATATCTTAACTCGTAAGAGAATAAAGACGAAGTGAAGTGAAGAAGGAAAGTTCGCGGGAATTTGGAAGAAAGGAAATGTTAAAAACCAATCTAAAACTTTCTCTCAAAACTCTTTCATACAACGTACAAAACGATTGGACATACAAAAACAGTTCACAAAATTGCACGAGAAACAGACATAGTTGAATTGTTTCGGCCGTTTCCGTGAATTTCCGCTCATAAGCGTACGTTACGGAACCATCCGATACAATACAATAGCAGACGATAACAGACGCCACGGAGACAAACGATAATCGACGCATGCGCGGACATTAAGGAATACTTTTCCCGCGACTAAATGACGAACAGTGCACGGCAAAATGAACAATTAACATAATAAATAAAACGACCCGTGACAGGTGCAAATCGAACTTAACTTTTATAAGATTAAATGTTGATTAAATAACAAAAGAACAATTAATTTACATGTGTGTCTTGGAAACTGAGAATTTCTCCCCCTCTTTGTGAAATATTAGCTCTTCTGGCGATTATAAAATGCTGGTGTTTGGCGTCAAATTTTTGATAAACATTAATAAAACCTTGTGTGTATTTTTTTGGGGGATTTCAAATTCTTTTTCTCTACTACTTAACAGATTTGAAAGTTACTTTTAACAAAAATAGGTGCATAAAGATCGCCAAAATAAAAAAACTTTGAAGGCCTTAAAATTTTTTTAGAGTAAGACAATTTTCATGAGCGGGTCGGAGCACAACAAACAATTTAAGGATAGCCTTGTGCAGAGCTCTTGATTGCCACGGTCGGGTATCCAGGTTTTGACTCGTGGAAATCAGTAAATGCACAGATTTGACACATGATAAAATCTGCACAAGAGTTTATTTGCCACATGGGAATTTTTAGCTATGTATGTTTATTGCCTGTGCACTGGAGCGTGACTTCACCCGATGCAACTTGACAGCACTAAAAATAGCTCTAAACATCTGATGAGGTGTCAATCATTGATTACTTTTAAAGCAGTATTATGTTAGAGTTCCTGTAATTATATTTGTTATTTCTTTTTTTCATATTAAATACTTTTAGTCAGAAAAGCTTATTTTATTCTTTCACAGTAAAGGTGCAATTCAGTGTTTTTTCTTGTTTCGTTTTTTTGTTGTTGTTTTTTGTTTTGACACAAGAAACATGAAAATTTTGGTCAAAGAGTCTTTGACTCGTGAAATTCTGACCCTACTGAGATCCCTGCATTGTCTATTAATTCATATGCAAGTAAATTTACATGGTCAGTGTGACGTTTCATATAGTTACTGTCAAATATGGTTAGACCGATTCCAGGTGTAAACTTTTTAAACTCGCTGATTATAAAGTGGCAGGTATCGTTTAAGCTATGCTCAATTAATTGTAATGTTTCCATTGGCGAATTAGAGGGCAATATGTCCTATGGATGTGCATATCATGTTACAGAAATGTGTTAATTGCAGTCTATATCGGCAGTTACTGTGAAGTTCAAGTTACATCTGGAGGTGAGGATTAAATTTATTGACAAGCACTGTGTGATATGTAAAGATCTGTACATGTACTACATTGTAGTACAATGTAAGTAAAAAAGCGCACCGAAGTCGATTTTGCTTTGATGTTCAAACGCAGCGATGTTCAGAAACTTTTGGCAACTAAGTAAGTCACGCAAATCCAGACTACCCAAAATATGTCGATCCGACGGACATGTGAAAAATTTTGATTAGGTCCAACGATTCTTTATTCCAGATCAGTCTGACCCAAGTAGCAGGTATACAAAATGGCCTCGCTAAAGGTGTCAAACCGGGGAAAATACAAAAATCTATGTCATGCCTCATGGTAGCGTGCAGAACAGCAGTAAATGGATTAAAGATTAGACCTGAGACAAAATTTTACGAAAAGTGGAAGCAGGACCATGAATGGTTGGTGTACAACATGGAGGGGGTGAAAATGCCCTGTAAGGACTGTGCCGATTTTCACGGCGAAAAAATCAAAACTAAAAAGGTCTTGCAACCACAAGTTTTCCTTTGATTTTGTTTTATTTCTATCAGTCTGACTGATTTCCTTTCGGTTTGGCAGATTTTCATGGTAATACAGACCAAATGCCTGACACTTTTATTTCACTTTCGGGAAGTCTGCAGATCACCTAATTGCAAGAGCCCTGGTATTCCAATGATGGAACAATCACGGTAATGGAACAATCACAAATTGCAACTTAAGAATAATGGTCAACATGTTCTGATTTTATATGGAAGCGTATCATGAAATAACGAATGAAACCTGTAAAATAACAAATAAACAATGATTTTATCTGATTTCCCAGTTCAAGCTTTGCACACTTTTAGAAATCTGTTTGTCATCGAGTTTGTCCATGGTGTACAAAGGTGATAAAACTCGAGAAGAAAATTTATTTAATTCACAAAATTATGCTCTTGTTGTCTACATTAGGTAAAACAGTATTTACATATGAAAATATTTTGTATCTGTTGCTTAAAAATAGAAAGTTATTTATTAAGTAAGATTCTTGTTTTTATTTTACGTCAAAAATTAGTCATCACTCCTGTTATACTTGTTTTTATCTAGGTCAGTTAGAAGTTGAGATTAACCAACGAGATAAGTCTACGTACTTTTGGCTTATACAGCCATTTCCTAAAAGAATTCATATTGACAGGTTAAGTGTAATTTTCACTCATCATCACATGATTTTTACAACACCATTTATGAAATCCATTTTGTTTCAATTCATCAAACAACTCCCGTGCTTTCTCGTTTACAACGTTATTTCCTGTTTTAGAAATTAACCTGACGAAATTTGACTACCACAAAGGAACAAAACACGCGAAATATTTTAGGCCTAACGTGTAAATAATTTGAATCATTTTTCGTTTAATAACAGCTTAAAATTAATTTTCGATTAATAGGCAAAAAACTACCTTAAACTAATTTTACCGTAAAATTCTAAATTGGAACTTAATAAATTATGTCAGTCACAGAAATTAACTAATCTGAGACAAAAAGGTACCTTATAGTAAGCCTTAGAGTGTTGAATTTTTTTTCAGGGTTGTAGTAGGGATCCAGGGGCAGATAGGGGTGGGGTGTCCAAACACCGATACTGCCACCTGTGCATGTGGTCTCCCGCGGCTTCTGATATTCATGTGTTTTTCGTGATCGGTTTTCATCACAGATTTTGTTTGACAAAGATTCTACACTTCGTTAATAATTTTACCGCCTCTCCCGTAATGTGTTTAATTGTTGTTTTGTGTTATTTTTGTTCTGCTTAAATTAATTTGTTTTGCTACTTATTTTTCCGCTTGGTTGCTAGATTTTTTTTTAATGTATTTAGCCTTGATAACTTCATTTGCATCTATTGTATTTTGACAAAGCATCGTGTGTACATATTGATTAGCTACAAGACTCAGTATTGGACTTGATTTAACTTTGTCTTGATTCAGTGCCAAACGTATTTATCATTAATATGAAAGTAGGCATAGCCTATGTAACGGGGAAGTCATTAAATTTTTAAAAGATTAAAGATATGATTTAAAACAGTAAGATATGTTTACTTTAGACAGATCAATAAACATATAATTTGCTGAACAAGATCGTTGCACTTGTGAAAAGGTGTTAACTTGATTTTTTCTTGTGTCAATTTTACTGTCTTTTACATATGCAAAATGTTTAAACAACCATAAAACAGAGCACTATTAGAATATGCCTGCAGCAAAATACATGTTTTAAAATCATAACCCTAACCCATAACTCTCTCATCTAAATTCTAACCCATAACACTAACTGTAACCATACCCTTAAAGTAATTTAAGTTATTTTGTAGAGAAACATAAATATTGAAGAAATAATTTTGATTAAAATCATATGTTAAAAATAACTACAAACATATTTTAAAGTGCAGCCCCAAAACAACAAACAAAACCAAGAACTTATTGAACTTCATGAAACTAATAACAATCACTTACTGTTATATATATGTTGTGTATTCATCTGCTCAGAATGCTTGTACTTTTCTTTACAAATTGTGAATAAGTTGCGCAACAAATATTGGTAAGGTGATGTACATGTCTTTCTGTTCATGCTGATAATACTGGGAAAAAAGAAACGAAGAGTAAAAATTAAGATATTGTTTTGTTAACAAAAGATTTATACCGGTTTAAAATGTAATGCAATCGAGAAAAGGAAACTAAAAATTAAATCAATAGGAGTAAATTAACTGATACTCATAGGTAAATATAGTTTATTACCTTTAAAACACCAGTGTATGATGCAGCCCAATAGTTGGAGGAATAAAATGGTATTACAGCATAGTATTAAAATTTTTTTTTTCTTTTTTTTTAAATAAAGTTAAACCTAATGTTATTCGGTTAGTGACTGACATATCACACACCAAAAACCTTAGGTACATTTATATATATTTAAAGAACATTAATATTGATTTAAAATTGTCATTGATTGCAGTTATACTATTTTGTTGAATATTAAATAGTGCTTAAAGTCACATTAGGGGACATCAGAGTTGTTGCATGTATCATTAACTTTCAGAAACAATTTAATGGAATTAAGTTTAATAATGTTTGCAATGTTCACCTTTTAATTTCTGTTTTGTTTGCATTACTCTTGAGTAACCCACATTACCTGATTTTCAAGAAATGATTATATTAGCAAATAGGGGTGTAACAATACGGCAAAAACTGTATTGCAATATATTGCCATTTTGCCAAAGCGTATTGCAATATATTGCAATACGTAATGTCGGGTACATGATTTGATGAAAATATGGAGAAACATTATATATTATTTTTAATGTGTATATTCTTAATGAAATTTAATAAAAATGTAAGGACTAAATAGAAAGTAAAGTGTCACACAATTTGATAAACAAAACAAGTCACGCGTGACCTTTCACATTTGGGCCGCTTATGTAAATTATGCGGGCACTTTGACTTAAAGTGTACTAGTTGTGTGATATTTTCATCTTACGTTTGGGACAATAAAATTTAATTAAAGATTTTATGCGAAATTTATACGAAATTATAAGGCAATTAATTGAAAATTACGATTTTCATAAAATACCAGTTTTCCAAAAATTGAAACAGGTTACGAAATTAATTTTTTCATATTTCAATATATCTGAATATCAGTAAACCGTTACACCCTTATCAGCAAATATTTTTGTTTAATTATTTTTAAATATTTTAGTTCTTTTGAAATCCCATGAGTTTTCTTTTACATCATCTTCATCATCACTTGAACTTGAAATTTGGGGATTATCATTACAGTCTGATGCATCACAGTCATAGCTTGTTTTCATGTCTTTTTCTGTAGCATTACACATAAATGAAAACCATTTGTCTTTTAGAAATCTGTTTGCATGGACACCGTCATAAAGATTCTTATATGTAAACGACATTACAGATTTTTTATTCTTATTGTTCCGTCCTCGTTTTTTAGATTTGAAGATCATGAGATCTCTATCCCAACGTACAGAAAATAATTTGTATTCCAAATTTAGTTTCGATATTTCAGAATTTATGTACTTTATGTCATTTTCTAATTGCTTTTGTTGTAATTGTTTTTCGTTTCTGGAAAATTTACTGTACAACAATTTGTTAATATTTTTATTATATTCCTCATACAATGTTAATGATACAGGTGGTATGTGTACAAGCTTAAATTTAAATCTATCAGAATTGTAAGTTTTGTAAAAAAATTGAATTTCTGACAAAAATTCTTGTAAATCTTCATTTCGTTTTACATATTTCACTTCAGAACCCCCATTATGGTTGAATTTGGTTGTTAAATTGCAAATACCTGCAGCCAAAGATATATATATATATATTTGAATTTGGTTTTGATACAGAAATTTGATCAATATTTTTGTTAACATTTTGCATGATAGACTGAATGGTTCCTCCAGGCATGGTAATTACTGATGTGTTTTTGTTTCCTCTATTGTACAAAAACTGCTGAAGGCAAATGCCTCTCGAATCTGTTGCATAAATGAAATGTTGCATCTGAAATATTAGAAAACATGAAGTACTGAAACTGATTTAAAAAAAATCTTATATGTGCATTAAATAGTAAATGCATACTTATCAAAAGTATAAATATGCATAATATACAAGTTAACAAAAAAAAAATTCAGCAGACAATAATAGTAAAGAGACTGAATTAAATACAGTCTAAAATTTTGTTGTTCAGAAAACACCTTTTCTGTTGTTTTTTTTAGAAATACGTAAAGGACGGTAGTAGTTGACTTACCACACACCGTACAATTTTTATATATTTTAAAATTACTTTTTAAAGAGAAATTACATGCTCGGTATAATTAAAAAGTTCTAATTGTCAATAATGGTTTATAATACAGATACAGATGTTGTACATATTTTTATTTAATATTCATTTTTTTATGATCCAAGAATGTTTTGTATTGGGATATTACATGTTAAATATATTTGAACTTTATCCTTGTATTTAAAAAACTACTGATACTTAATTGGTTATTGTGACATGACCCACATGTTACCTATAATTAATGGCTGAAAATGTGTGTTATTATGCAATAAAAGACTGTTGATTTTCTAACTTTAGACATGTGATGATTTAATCATTAGACATTTAATGTAACCATTAAAAATGCGATACCTTGAAAATAAGTATGGAAACAAATCATGGGTAATTTAGCTTGATATCTGGTTAGAATCGGAATAATATAACCCAAACAGTGATTTTATCGCTGGATAAAATCATTGTTTGGGATATATTATTTCTTAAGCATGAAATAAAAATTGTATTGAATATTTTATACTGGCAAGTATGTTACTGTTTGATTATGTAAATTGCATTGAATTTAATGAGTTAAGAATAAAAGTTGTTTGTAGCAGAATATTGTCGGTAGTAGCTGACATGCCACACACCGATTTATTCTTCTAATAAATGTTGTGATGACTTCATTATTTGATGAAGGATATTTTGAAATGTGTCATTGTTTATTAGGTATTCAAAGTGTTTTCTAGTTTTCAGTTCCAAATTTGATAAACGGTTGATTTCTCTTTGTCTTGCTCTAATTGTAGGAGTGTCTACAGAATGACAAATACGATCTTCATTTATAAGAACATCTGGATGCCAGGCAAAGTCGGGTGGGGAGTACTGATCTCCAGCAGTTTTAGCTACTGATAGTGCAACAAATAATGCACCTGGATTTCTGGATTCAAATGCATTGGAACCAGGATCAATTACAATATATCTGTTGATTTCACCTTGTCCAATAGTCATTCCTTGACAGCGATGTATTGTAGTCCCCCAACCAAGTCTAAGAGGAATTTGTTTACGTTTGCATCCATGGCAAAAGCATTCTATTCGTCTTTCAATAGGGACTATTGGCACTACTTTAGAGTCTTCTTTGGTGAATGCTGGACCTGAATATTTGTTAAAAACGACCATCACTACATCTGGAAGTGAGTCAGTGGACGTCTACCAGCTAAGTAAATGATGTCTTTGATGATTCCCATTGAGCCATTGAAAAGTCCATATTGAACTTGAATGTTGCTTGTTAGCATAACTTTTGCTCCTTTGCAAAGAAACACAGTATTTAGTAACCCTCCTGCTTTATCTGATGTAGCAGATTTTGAATGTGGGCCTTTATTTATTGCACACAATTTTGCCACAGGTGCATGTTCATTAGCTTGTAAAAGTTGGGTCATAGTGTGCTGATATTCAGCTGAAACACAAATAATCCATATTCTGTCATATTAGAAAGGATATGATTGCCATACTTAATTTTTAGATCATCCCACTGAAATTGTTGCAGCCATTTAACTTGTTCTTCTGAACATTTGTATTCCCTAAGTGAGTTGAGAACTCCCTTTAATTGTTTTTGATGTTCATCTTGTCGGACAATAGTATTTAATTGAATTACATTTTGGAATGATTTCCATACTAGTTGACCATGGATTGATGCTGGGCTTTTTGTTGAAACATTGTAGACTGGTGAATCACAAACAGGTGGTAATTGAATATCATCACCTAGGAAAATAACTACTGGGAGCCCACCCCATGTTGATTTTGTATCACCAACACCATGTATACATAAAAATTCCATCCATCCTAATGTAGTAGCTCCAACTAGTGATCGTTCATCAACAATAAGTGCTGTAAGATCAACGCAATTTTTTTGAATAATGTCTCCTTTATTGCCATCAGGAGCAGACATTTCTCTTTTTGCCTGAAATCCAGTTGGAATTTTAAAGAAATCATGTATAGTTTTTCCAGAAATAAGATTGGCACTATTACCAGTTGGGCAAAGTACTTGGACTGACTTGTTGTTTTGGAAAAGATTTTGAATGGCTTCAACCAGGCAACTTATTAGGAAAGATTTACCAGATCCGGCTGTACCAGAAATAATTATTCTAAGTGGATCAACAGCAGAACCATTTTTGTAATGTATCAGTGTATTCATTACAATACAAAATGCCAATCTTTGGTTGTAGTTTAGGGAATGAAGTTTGATCTCCGATATGATAGGAATGGTAGTATTTTCCTCTGAATCTATATTTTCTAACCATTTTATTCCGAAGTCATCAGGATATTGTCTGTCAGGATTATTCCAGTCATATTCAGGACCTCCGTCATCGAAGTCAAATTCTGCAAGAGATTGAATTTTTTTGTTGGGCTGTAAAAGCTGCATCCATTCTGGCATTTCTATATCATTATCTGAATCAGATGTATCATCTGAAGGAATATTGTCATATGATTTTTGTTGCGCTTTTTCAATGTCAGCTTTAAGAAAATTAGGACAAGTATCAGATGTGAGAAATTCTTGGAGTTTTTGACACCATGTTATTTCACTTGGTTTGATATCTTCAAGTTTTCGCCAATTTGGCCAGTGTAGTAGAAGCATAGTTCTACTATAATCTTCAGTAAGTGGCATTGTTGCTGTTACAGAGCTGCCACTAATAACAGGCACTTTCCCCTGGTTACAAACAAATTGATACCAGGAACATGTAATATCAGGAGCTCTTCCAAGGTAAAGATCTAGTGGTGTACTCTTTGCGAATGTTTGTCCACATTTTTCTAGAACTCTAGAACCTGATAAACTAATATTTTGAAATGAATGACTACATCGGTACAGTGGTAGCGATAATAGTTCATAAGATGCCTCCATACTTGAAATGTCCCTTTTGACAGTATTCATTAGAAGTTTTGTACATGCTGACTTGGTATCCAAATTTGCATTGTTATCTGCAGAATTAATAATGTCCTGAAATAATTCTGCAACAGCTCCGGTTGGTTCATTACCTTTACATGCATAACCTGTGACATATTTTTCAGTTGCAATTATTTCTTCAACTGAAGGATTGTCTGGAGAACTCTTTGATAGAATTATTGAAATGTCACCATTTGCTCGCCAACCTTGTGTGTGATATCTTGAATTCTGTACTAGCATTGGATGATCTCTGTTCATTTCTAGTCTCATAGACCCATTTTTATCTTTAACAATAGCTGGTTTTATCCCTCAGTGCTTTGCCTGGCATTCTTTCACTTCCAAATTCCATCCTACATACACGATCCTGACCTTTTTTTCTAAGACAATAGTCAGAACAACTGTGAATATTTATTCTATTACACAGATGTAAATAGTCTTCTAGTAATGATTCTTGTGATTCACTGGTATCCATAAGTAGCTTTAATGAAGGATTATGTTCTTCTGCAGGTGGTTCAGCAGTTCCTTCAGGAGGTGCCCATAGATCTTTTCTGGGACAACCTTTATCATCTTGTCCTGCAGGATGTGAAGCAGTCATAGCCAAACAATCTTTTGCCCAATTTGATAGTTGTTCTGCGCAAAGATCTTCACTTAGACCTTTACTATATGCAGAATGAAGAAGATTATGTGGCTCACGATCAGATCGCCAGCAGAGACCATGCCAATGAATCATGCCTCTAGATTTGGCAAACTCATAGCGATACCAGTAAGCATCTACTCCAAAAGCAGGACACATTACAAGATCAAAATAAGCTTTAGTTCTTAGATCAAAATAGAGTGAAACAATATGTGTATTTTGTTGCAGCACCTGGAAAAGGTTATTTCTATTTGTGAGGTCCAGGTCTGTTCCTGAAGTTTCTAAAGTATAATCATGAAGAATACGTCTCAATGTTTTGAAATGATATTCAGCACAGCTTGCAGTTGTGAAAAATGATGGTAAACCATTTTTTTCATTGATTTGAAATTTAATGAGTGATTTCAGTTCTTTGTTTCTTTGAGCCCAATATTGAGAAGTACCTCGTAAACTTGCTCCAAAGTAAAGCATTTTACTGACAATAGAAGTGTCACCACTGTTTAATTTTTCTTTTATATCATTTATAGATATAGGGTTTTCTCCAAGCTGTTGTTTTACAATGAATGTACTTTGTTCGAGGGTACGTTTGCGCATTATAATGTTATGAACTATGAATTTGAAGTATTGGTGTTTTGCAAATCGTCCGTCTTCGAACCACATTAAGTGTTCAGCCCAATCTGTCATAGATTTACATGTTCGCGGTCTATTGATATGAAAATCTCCTACACCAAATGGAAATAGGCAAGGAAAAGCTAATGTAAAAAAGTATTTTGTTGTGAATTCTGAAAGAGGTGTGTCAGATTGGGTAGGCCATGGAATTGAGACATACTTTTTGCCTCTTTTTACCTTTACGTTATCATCATCTACAGCTTCCCTTACAGCCATTTCTATTTCCGCTTGAATGTTTAAATTGTTATCAGGTAGTGTAATACTTGATATAGTATGACCATCAATTTCTCCAGGGTCAGCTTGTTGTTGTGCAGGACCTTTGTCTGGATTGTTGAAAACATTCATTGTTTCAATAGTATCAACATTTATTTCAGCATCATTAGGGAGCATGTTTAATCTTGATGTGCTAATTATTATGTCTTTGTATGCCGGATTATTTGCTTTAAGCCATCTCAAAGAATTTTCTACAACTGATCGACGAACATTGAATTCTTTTGTGGTGTCATTTGAACCTGATCTTCTTACACGTATAATGTTGATGTCTTTAGGTAAGTTAGGTAAAATTTTTGCAGGCTCATTAACATTTTGTGGAAATGCTATGCAGTGCCCATAAGCAGCAATACCTCCATGTTTTAGCATATGGATTTGAATATAAGGGACAATACGACATATCAGTTGTTGCTCAATTATTGTCAGATTGTGGAGCTTTTCAGGGACTGGAAGCGGGTTCATGTTGTTTTCAGAAGAGAACATTTTAATGTTTTTTTTTGTCAGAATTACACCTAAAGCAAATGTTTTTTTGATGACATTTTCATTTCTAGTCTACGTTCATGACAAATTGTACAATGGGAGAAAGAAAATGTCATTTGTTTTAATTCAAATGCTCTAATGCAATCCATAATTTTGTTGAAGTTATCATCTTGAGAAATTGGTGGTGCAGGTGGTAATTGATTTGTTTTTAAATTGATATTTTTTCTGCTGAAAAAATGTTCTTTTTGTTCTTTTTCATTCTGTTATTGCATGCATCCTGTTTTTCATTTTCTTGAGGGAAATGAAATTTTATGCCAAGTCTTCTACATTTTTGAAAAGTATCAAGTTCATTAGGGTCTAAATGTTCAATAGAGTTATAGGGAATGTAGCTTTGGTCTTTTTGTATGTTAATAGTTTTTTTGTTGTTAACAATTTTGTTTGTTTTTTGCTTTTTATTTGATTGATTTGTTGAGTCAGATTTTACATCTGGTTGCATTCCTTTCCTTTTTTTGCTTTCATTTGTATTTTTGTCCGAGCATGTAATTTTGTTCTCTTTAAATGGACATGTTGTTTTATTTGATTTGTTTGTGCTATCTTTAGATTTTTGTTGCCTGTTTTTGTTTTTTTCATTTTTGGGTTTTAATTGTGTAGAGGGTCTTAGATGTGTTTTTGAAGATGCAATCGTATTGGAAGAAATATTAGAACAAGTATTTCTGGTTATGTTGTCATTTGGAGTTGTCAAAGATGGTGAAACTTGACACAATACATTGAAATGAGAATTTGCTAAATGCAGTGTTATACATCGCAAATTGTTTGTACCGTATGTTTCAGCTGTATATTTGACACTTAATTGTCTAAGGTTGCTGTCAAAAGCTAGCCCCTTGAGCAATGTTGTAATGGACAGGTTAAATAACTCGGCAGCAGTGCATACCTCGCAAGCAGATGCCCAGCCATTTCGAGTTAGCATACGTCTTTTGTACTGATACCTATCACAGATATCTGCACCATGTGAAAGTGTAGCAAGATTAGCATATTTGTTCCAATTTTGGAAAATATGAGAGCATATAACTTTTCTATAATTTGCTGCATAAGAAATTGTGCCATGTAAAGCAAAACTGAAACTACTGAAAAAACAATTCCCATCACCAGGAACATCTATCATTTTATATTGTGTACCATTTATATTTACACATGGGGCATTCCTGTACATTGCAGTGGATTGAATTATATTCATATCTTTTGTTTGCATATTTTTTTCATTTGTTAAAACGTTATCTTTTGTACAGTTGTGATTGCTGGTGTTTATATCAGTCTGTTTTTCGTTACCTTTGGTATTTACAGAGTGAGACTTTTTTATTTTTTCAGAATGTTTGCCTTTTGTGATTGTAACATTTGGCAAATTTTTTGTGTAGCAATGATCTAGCGTAACATTTGGCATATTTTTTGTGCAGAAATGGTCTACTGTACTTTCAATGATAGGTTTACTACAATCTTCAATATGTTTTGTGTAGCAGTGATCTATTGAAATCATTGTAGATGAATCTGTTGCCTGAAACTTGTTTATTTTCTGTGATTTTGAAAAGTAATTGTGTTCATTTTTTATGTACTGTGTGTACTTCTGATCATGTAAGAGCACACCTGGCATTTTTATATAGATCTAAATCAACTTTACCAAAAATAAATAGAATCTATCTAGAGATCTAGCTCTACTTATTTTTTCCAAATATGAATTAAAACGTGAATAGCATTAATTTTTAAACAAATCTCTAAAAATCAGTTATTATGCCGTAATACCATGCTATACTTTGGGTAAACTGTAATCAGTTTGTTTTTGACAGTTGACAGCTCAGTTGTTACAGACGATAATAATCCGCATCTTATAGACGCTTACAAAATTTAGCTGGGTGAAAATACCGAGAGAGTGAAAATACCGAAAGACACTGCAAAACTCTAAGAATTAAAAAAAAATCATTTTCCCCCAACATTTTTATATCGTACAATTTATTTTGTATATGTTGATGAATAAATAGTTAATGTCATCTGCTAACTATATACAATATTACGCCGTTCATTTTTTATTTTATTTTTATTTTACAATTTTCGTTTATTACTTGTCTTTGAATTCGATATTTTCACATACCGTTAATCTGGTTCCCTGTCCTATTCGGTTCCAATCCAATACTTTTTATAAGTGCGCAGGGGACCAGTCTAATACCGTTTCCGTTTTCAATCGGATCACCTCAATTTTGTTCCTGATCCGAAATATTGCTATACGTTATGTTATCGGAATACCTTGCCGGTTATCATTGGGTTACACAAAACATGGCGGCGATCAAAATGACTTGACACTGAAAATTTCACTGATAGGTATAGAAATTTATTTTTTTTTAATTGTTTTTTCTTCAATTTCCTTTTAAATATACACGTGTAGTCTATAGCCGGGCAAGCCAAAGCCCGGGGCCGCTTCGCGGCCCCGGACTTTGACTTCCCCGTAATAAAAAGGTTTATGGAGAGCGTTAAAGAGAATGCTGCACAAGAGATTTTGAGTGCGATTCCAACGACCGTTCTTGAATAACGTCATATTTGAATTGTGTTACTATTTCTAATGACGAATGTCGTCCTTGTACATGTCAAAATCATTATTTTTAGGTCTTTTTTGAACTGATTTTCGTACCCCAGTTGAAACATTAGAGTTGTTAGTCATTGAACAAAACAATCTGCGTCGTCTGCAAACAAAATAACAATTTTATCTCATTGATGGTAAACAATCCTTCAATTTTATTATTAATATAATAAACAAAAACATTGACAAAGTCAATGTTGTACAGAATTTATGTATTTAATTGCCGCTTTAAGAGGCATCACATATATACATATTTAGCTACATGCAGACAGGTACATACTTTGGATCACCATGATAATTCTTGTACTGACATTTTCTTGAAAAAAATAATGATAACGGAATTTAAAAGAAATAAAATTGGCTGTGGATTTACCTTTTGGAAGCCGTAATTTTGGTGCTTTTTAGACCATCTGGTTAAGCGATTCTGAAGAACTTGTGAGTAGTTTTATCAATGTAATATCCCTATAATTTTTTTAATCTTTTTTTAATTTCTCCATTTATTCATGTAAAATTACCATATAAAAAAGATGTGATTATATGGTAGTCAGACTATGAACCCCCTTAACAGTCCCTCCACCGGACCGTTCTAACACTAATTCATAATCTGCATATGTGTAGACTGTTCCGCCACAATTATTATAAATGACCCCTCTTCTTGAGCCAACTGCCGCTTCTTCTTACGGGAAGAATTCTTATTATTTAACTGAATAAATGGTCTTTTGCGAAGTTAGAGAATTCTTGGTTAAAGATTCACAAGCAACATCAATCCTCAGAACCATAAGTACTGGTGGTATTCATTTGAAACTTTGACATGTCGAAAGTTGACAGCAAAACTGTAGTAACTTATATGAAATAAAAGAGGACTTACACGAGTTATGAGGTCAACCCCTCGATGTTACTTCAGTTTCGGACAGAAATTTGAAGGTTTTCACATGAAACTTAATTAATTATCCAAGGCACATAATACTCTGGCATAAACTTTTACGGAATCATGACCATTTTAGATTTTAAAACAACATATCTTTGTGAAGCTCAGATATTTAACATTATTTTCTTTGTTTGTCGAATAAAATTGTTGTAAAGAAACTAGATCTATATAGAATCATATATTTGGAAAGTTCATGAATTGACAACAACTGTACACAGTGTAAGATGCTAGCACTGTTGTTTGTTGTATATGCTGTGTATTACATGTGTATTCTTATATAGGTATTAGCTGCATATTACCAATAATATATCATACGTTTTAAGTACTTACCGCTCTAATTCATCCCAAAATTCCTTTTTTCTGGGTGACATAACTTGAAAAGACTTTAAGTGCGCTAAATGTATGCTATCGTTATTGCGCTTTTGCCCTACGCAGAATGCGCATGCACGAAATGCAACATACGTTGCTATGGAAAAATCGTATTGTAAAATGGTCTGTTGTAATTAAATACTCATTTTGTTCATCTTGTTTTGCATTTTAAATAAACGAATAGCTTACGTTACTAGCATTTAATTTATTGGCAAGTTAATAATGTTTACTGATGGCTGGACATTTTTACGCGTATCTTGGTGCAACAGTGAATAATTAAATGATGTTTAATATGAGGCATAAAATATATGTGATACCGCCGTTTTATAATAATAAATAATGCTGTATAGTTTGTCGGACAACGTCTGTAATGTATATTTATGGAAGGGTTGTTTGTCATGTTATTTATGACTTTTGTATTTTCAAGCTCCGTTGATCATTGGACGTGGGTTCCTATAAAAGCTGGACTGGTAGGATGCCCCCAGTGTGACCCAGTCTGTGTACAATTCTTTCTCCCAGGATGAAATAAGTTCAGGACATCAAATCGCTATCAAATCAGGAACATTGTTCATATTGTGTTTTCTCGTCAAGATGTGACGTTGGGTTAACTGTAGGAAATCATCTCTGCTGCAGAACCTTTTATTTATATGTAATGTTTCTAAAAACAGAGCACCCTCTCACGGAACAATAAATTTCAAAAATCTATAATAATAAATTTCATTCAATACTTCTGCCAACAAGAACATTTTTAATAATCAATTAAACTTGTAAAGATTGTATAGGACACATTTTAAAATCAAGGAAAGTCTTACAGTATACTTTCGATGATGCCACTTCACCATCCTAGCTTATTACACCGACGACAAAGCTTAATTCCAACTTTCAAAGCTGTATATCAAATCACATGTTAAATATCTGAATATGTGAAATATATAATATATAAGCTTAAGCCTTCATGGCTTACAGAAGAGATTTTGTTAAGTTTTCACTATATAAATATAAGAAAAATCCATGACCCCCGGAGCATGACTTTCTACAATCTTTGATTCCGTTAGCTAATAT